TGGAGAATTGAGATCCTGTTTTCTTGCTGGGTCTCTTCCAGGGGGGGTCTTGTGGTGACTCTCATCTGCCTGCAAAGGCAGCCTTGGAGGGCTGAGTTTACCATGGTCACTCTCCCCTCTTGTTATCTCTTTCTGCCTCCCTCTTCCACGTTAAAGGACTTGCAAGATTAACTCGGGCCCATCCAGGTTCTCAGGTGACCTCTTCCACCTCAGGGTGCTGCACCTTGATCACATGAGCTGAGGCCCGGTGTCTTCATGGTGGTGCGGTGACAGGCTCTGAGGAATAGAATGCGTGTGTCTTTGCAGAAGTTGTTCTTCTGCCTTTGCCCACTGGATGTGAGGTTGAAAGAAAATGCAGAGTCTCGGTTTCTGACTTTACAGCCAGGAGGAATGCAGTTTTAAAGAAAGGAGCTGAGTTATTTTTTTCATGCTTTTTTTTTTTTTTTTTTTTTTTTTTGTCTTTTTTGGGTTTTTGAGTTAGGGTCTTGCTTGATTATCCCCAGCTGGCCTTGAACTCATGGCAATCCTCCTGCCTCAGTCTCCCGAGTGCTGGAATTACAGGTGTACTCTACCATGCCTGCTAGGAAGCTGCATTTGGTCTTTAAGACATCCCTGGAAACCATCTAGAAGTAGAGGTACCAGCCAAAAGGCAGAAGAGACGTCAAGGCAGGAGTCTCTGGTGAGGAAGCTGTTCACACAGAGTGGACTACAGTGAATGCGTGAGATGGGAAGAGAGCAGGGCTGGGAGCAGCGTCCGGAACTGACTGTGTTGGAGGTGTAACTGTAGGCAAAGCACTCATGAAGAAGGACCTGCCTCACCCCATACCCAGGGTCTCTGTCCCTTGCCATGTCCCCTCCTTTCCCTCTACCTGGCTTTTCTCCTCCCTTCCTGGGTTTCTGCCTACTTATCATTTGTGCTCCCTAAAACTTCAGCCTCACATTGTGCACCCAGCCCACTTCCGGCTGCCTCTTCACAGAGGTTTCCGCTTCAGTTCCCATTAAGGAATACCGGTTCTCTTGGGATTTTTCACCTGGAGGTTTAAAACAAACAAACTAACAAAACTTTTGAAGAGAACTGGGGTGGCCCAGACTATTTGGAAACACTGTGGTTTGGGTCACCTGATGAATTTAGGACTGGCTTTCCTAACGCCTGGTGCCCACCATGGTCCAATCCACTGCTTCTCTACTTCAGGAACCAGAACGAACCTGATCTGAGCGTTCAACAAATCATTTTGTTCCACAGAGGCTTTGGAGGAAGAAGGTTAACTTTACCTGGATTGCATTTGCTGGACCCATGGTCCTGTGGTGAGTGGGCAGATTGGAGTTTTTCCCTCCCTCCAAGCCTCCTGTAGGCCTAACACTGTCTGTAGGTAGGGGACTATTCTAGTAGGAACTGAATTCTGGGTTCCAACCACAGGAAGAAAGTCCAGGCAGGCAGTACTCAGAGTGAACATAGTCATTTTCCTTCAGAGACATCTGCATTCTGCATTGCCTTGGTGTGTTTGTAAACATTATGCAAAGGACAGCTCGTTCTGCAGCTTTGAGGATCTTCTGTCCTCTCACCATTTCTCCACTGACAGCCTCTCTGCACACAGCTGGTGCTGACCCTCCTGTCGCTCTATTTACCCTCAGCTTCTCTTAAGAAGGGCCCTACAGTAGGGCTGCAGCTTACATCACAGGGTTAAGAGAGCCAACAAGGTACCATTGTTATTGTTTGGTGTCTTTGCTGGATTGTGAGAAAACTAGGATTTGCGTTGCCATGTGAACAAAGAGCTATAGTCTTCAGATTCCTATTGCTTTTCATTATAATCAGATGTGATTTTTAAAAAATGTACTGGGAATTGAATACAGGTCACACTAAGGTACATCTCCAGTCCCTCGTAATTTTTTAATTTTTGGTACCGGAGATTTAACTTGGGACCTTGCCCTTGCAAGGCAGGCAGTGGAACCACTGAACTAAATCCCCAGCCCTTTATTTTTTATTTTGAGAAAGAGTCTTGCTAAGTTGCCCAGGCTGGGATCAAACTTCCAGTTCTTCTGCCTTGACCTCTCAAATAGCTGAGATTATAGCTACCAAGCTACAGATGAGATTCTTTCACAAGATATTAAGCTGATAGGCTTCAGGAAGGGCAGGACCTCTATACAACTGAGAGCTCCTCTTAACCAAATTCCTCTGATGTCAAGTTTCGAAGAAGACATCTTTGGATGTCTTCCTTTCTTGGGGATTGTGAGAGGCCATACATGTGACTGGGGTGTTTGATGACCTGGTGGGCTGGCACCTAAGCAGTAGCCCTGCCCTATTTCTTGTTGGGAACTGGACTGGAAGCAGAAAGGGACAGAATTCTCCACTCTGTGGTGGACACTTGTTGTCCATTTCTCTTTGGACTCTTGCCAGGTCATTCTTGAATCTCAGCAGAGGAGGCGCCCTCCATGCCAAACGGGAGGAAGCACCACAGTCAAGGCAATGTCCCAGACCCCAAGGGGTTCTTCAGCAGAAAGCAAGACAGCCATATGCTACATCTAATCATTAGAAGTCCTGGAGGACAGGCCAGTGCTAGGCCTGTTGGTGGCGTTGCAGTCTGTCTGTGGATGACTTCTTGGTGGACATTCATCGCTGCCTGGTGGTGAATGAAGTGATTAGCAGTGGATGCTCAAGCAGCTCTCCTGGGTGACTGACCTAGGTGAGAACAGGATGAGCAGGAAACCCTAGAAGATCAGGGCAGTTGCAAATCCTGCCTAGGGCTGGAGGGAGGACCTAGGAGACCCAGTACCAGCACTAGGGCTGCCTGCAGGGCCAAGCAGAGGTGGGGGTAAGTACGTGTGTGACTTCAGCTGGCTGAAGCTGGGGAGATCTGGGCAGTGAAACCAGTACTGAAGCTGACATTCTGCCATGCAAAGGAAAGGCAGCAGGTCCTGATGAGAGGAGTGAATGGGATAAAGAGGCAGCCTCCAAAATAGCAGTGAGGACACCTTCCCGGCCACCCTTCCGGCTGAGAACCCTGGTCACTGCCCTGCTGGCTGAGTCAGAGGATCTGAAGGGTAACATTAAATCCTTGCGGAACGGGTGACTCACACTTCTCTTATCCCTCCTTCCCACTGTGCCTTTCCCACTGCTCTCTTCAGACCCTGAAGAATCCTATGGAGTTTAACCTCAGAGTTGCTCATGATCTTTTAATCTGCCAGTCTCTGTACCTCTAGGGCTTGGTACGTATTGTTTCCTAAGCATGAGAAAGCTCCCCTCCTCTTCTCTGTCCTTAAAAATCTAACTTAATTTTTAGGAGCTAGCTCAGTTTTATCTTCTTCATAAAATCTTCTGGGACCCCTCTAGATTGGGTAAGCAGCCCTTAATTTTGCTCCCACATAACTTTGTCCTTTTGTTATATCACTCATCAGATTGTGTCTTCTTTATACGATAGGAACTGAAATGTTATTCTGCTAAAGTACAGTCTCAGGTACATGTAACAGTGCCTTAAAGACAGTGGAAGATTATTTCTGTCCCCTGTTAAGGAAGACTATGAGAAAAGCTGGAGCTGGCAGCTTTGCACTGTCATCATGAATGTAGTTTCTTATTCATCTGCCTGGCCATGCTTAGCTCATAACTTTCATTTTCAAGTCTGTTTTATATCCACAGTAGCTGCTCAAGCTCTGACCATCACACCCATGCTCCAAGATGCAAGAAGAGGGAAGAAAAAGGATCACAGGTCTCTTAGGGAGACTTTCTGGAAAAGCCCTGTGATTCTACTTATATATCATTGGTCAGAACTCAGTCACGTGTCCACATCTAAGTGTCAAGGAACAAAGAAATTGTAGTCTTCATCCTGGCAGCAATGTGTCAAAATAAAAACTGCTCCAAAAGATGAGAAGAGTATAGATATCGAGAGGCAAATTGCAAACGTGCTATCTGATCCTTTTTTGTTTCCAGTAGGTCTTAGTTTTTCCCATTCTTCTGCCTATTGTAGCTGAGCAGTCTTTTTGGCTTTGGAAGCAGGTAGAACCCATGTAGAAAAAAATTACTTATAATCGGTTTAAAATTTGCTGTCAGGGGAGGGGAGGAGGGGGTGAAGGGAGGGCAGGGGTAAGGGGAAAAAACGAGAATCAAGACCTGTCATGTAGAGGTACAAGATCCCAACAATGAATGTAACTGTGCTGTATCCCTAAAATGTACCAATAAACTCAAAGCTGAAAAAAATTTTGCTGTCATAATTCAGATGTGTAGGAATGCTACTTTTTAATTTCCTAACCTTGACTTCCCCACAAATCATTATTTCCATTAGTGGCTGGGGGAAAAAAATCATATTAATGATAACATGGTCACTTCCGTTTTAAAATTGAATCTCTTTGGGGGGACAATTGGGTTATATGCGGGCCTCTTCTCTTGCTCTTTTTCTGCCTTCTCCCTGGGAGCTGGTCTGCTGTTCTTTCCTTCTCAGACCTCCAACAATTAGGTACATGATATGTCTGTCTTTCTCTCTCCTCAGGAGCCCCTGAGGCTGGTCTGCTTTCTTTGGAGTCTGTTGCAAAAGTTGACACATGGGAAACAGTTAAAAATGTGACTGATGCATTTATGAGTCAACTTTAGATGCCGCACATGATTAATTCAAATGATACCATAACGATCTGAAAATCCTGTGCAATTAAAAGCCTATTTCTCTGAAGCCCCCAGCACTATTCTTACAGCGTTGTTTTAGTGCTGATATGCCTCAGCTCTCGAGTGTGGCTTGTCCACTTGGCTTTTCCCTCATTTGGTGCCTGTCTCTGATCTGAGCAGCTCCCATAGGTGCACAGAGAACTGAGGATGCAGGAGGCCTTCAGTCAGTGACAGTGAGCGACCACAGGAACAGGCCATGGCACTTTATAAATTGTCACTGACAGCGGCTCCCACCCTGGAAGGACAGGAATAGAGCATTATATAAAGCATCAATAAAATAAGTTGCTATTTTTCCTTTTACTGAACTTTTACCATTTTTTTAAAAAGAAAAAAATTTTTTTTTGTTTTTCAGAAATCCTCCACCTACTTTGCTGCATCCAGAAAACTGGTGTGAGGAATTCAACCACTTTATTTCACAGTGAGTATTTCTTCCACTGAAAATTGCCTATCTAGCAGGGTTTGAACCATGATTGGAGAAATCCAAACTGTGGAATTTACTTGATGCTAGAAGTTTTTATGCCTGCCAAGCTCATTAGGACACAGAATTCGTTCCAGTAAATGATGGAAGACACCTCTACTAGATTTGAAAACTCAGGAGTTCCACTTGACTTGGCTATAATCAGTCCTTCTGATCACGTGAGCCACAGTTATCCAAAAACTAATGCTATCGTGAGCCTAATACTGCTATCTTGCTGTGTTTAAAGAAGGAGGAGATTCAACATCTAAAGATCCTTTGATCACCCTAGGACCAGAGAGAAGACAGAGGTGAACAGACCCAACAGGATTTTCAGCATGGTTGTTGTTGGGCTTTGCTCTAGGATCTGTGGTGGACTCCAGTTCCTGAGGTGATTGAGGGGACAAATTAGGATTTAGAGCCAGGGTCACTAAAGTGAGGCAGCCTAGTCAAGGCTTAAGGTGTGGAGAACAGGATGAAATCCCAGCTGACGGTGGGGGCTGTGCTGCTAGGCCAGATTTATTAGAACTAAGAGAGCAGAACCAACAGTGAAACTGTGGCTCTTGGTGGGATTGTGGGCTTTTGGGTGCCCTGCTAGGGGCTCGCTCTGGTCTCAAATCAACAGAGGATTCTCAGACTGGAGGAAGCCATGAAGCCCCAGACTAGGACCTGGTGAATCATGAAGGTAGAACTGTAGATTAGGCATTAAAATCTAAGCCCAGGAGTAGGATCTGGAAAGGGGCACCCCCAAGCACCTAGTATATAGTTTCAGAGTTCATAGGAGGAAAAAAAGAAGTGACCAAGTAGCTGATACACACTCAGTAGGGAAAGTCAACACAGATTTCTCATTTACACCTATGGATAGACTTTGCTCCCACAGTCTAGACCATTGAAGTAACTAGAGATCTCAGTTGTCCTCCTTAATTACAGTAGAGAATTTCAGTCCCTTATCCACAATTCCAAAACCCAAAGAGCTCTGAAAAATGGGACTTCTTTTATTGTTGAGTCATTTAGCAACAAAACCTGACCTTACATGAACTGATTTAATGGCAAGGCATGACCTGAATGGATGGGAGGTTATTTATAGTCATTATTTATCTTTCCTAGTGTGAATATTCATGTGTTTTGCTGCAGATATTTTACTGTTTGATTACAGTGTGCTGTCCCGATTCTGCTGGGAATATTACATAATATATAGCAAATGTACCTGTTTACCTTTCTAAAATTTGTATAATTTAGAATTCTAAACATGTTTGGCCCTCCTAAGGGTTTGTGTAAGTGGTGTTTCATTTTCATTTCAAATGCAGTATAGTTCAAGGTCCCTAAAATTATTTGCTCGTCCAATCCCTTTTGGACTTGTTCGTTATTCCTGAGGAGATAGGAGCAGAAAAGAGCTCAGAGAATTCTACCAAGAGAGGCTGTGCTGGAACATAACGATGAAGTTCAAGGCCAGGGGTGGAGGATGTGTCCTTGCCCCTCTAGCCTAACTCTGACAGTTTTACAGAATGCACCAGGGTCAGCCATGAGTCAGGAGTGAGAATGTTGGGCCAGGATGGAGAGGAACAACAGTGGGGGACAGAGGAAAAGCCACTTCTTGAGGTTTGGGAGCCACAGAAGGAAGTAGAGAGAAGAGCTAAAGACATCTTGGTGGCTGGGGATCACATTTCACACCATTCTAGAGAGAAACCTGGGGCTGTTTCTAGTGGTTTTGCTGGCAAAAAAACAGATGAAAGACTTTTCTTTTCATTCCATTGCTTCACAGATACCCTTGATTGACCTCCTAGGTGTTGGCCTAGAAAAATCCATTACATATTCACTAATACACCTTCTCATTCTGAGCTCTCCCAGTACCTCTAGAATGTGATTTGACTCACAAGTTTGACTTCAGCATACTTATTCAAGGGTATGTTGGTGTTCTTAAACCAAGCACAGTATTGCTTAGATGGATTTAAGAATAAAGATGTCTAATTGATGGCAGGGTTTGGACTTCTATAAAAATTTTTTGCTGCCACTGATATTCCCTTGTGGCAAATCCTATTTCATGCCAGTTCCCACCTACTTATGTTTTACTTAATTTTGCGAATTTCAGATTCAATTATTCTGAGTTGCTTTAGTTTTTAAAAGACGTAGAACATTCTGGAGGGCAAACACAGACAATAATGCTTTTGAGTATGCAGCATCAGGGCTGAACACATCACAAATATAGGGGAGGGAGCATCTGAAAAGTCCTAATAAACAAAGAGAAACAAATGGAAATTGAGTGATTGTGTGCTTTACTACTAATTTGAGATACAAAAATAAGTCATCAATCTTTTCTTTCTTTAATGAGTTTCTTTGTTTTTTATTAGTGAAAATGTTATATATTCTTATCAGTATTCATAGATTCTTCCTTGACCTTAGTCCCTCGGATCCTATCTTTCCCATAACATCTTAGATTTTAGCTGTGAAATCTCCTTCTACAATATTTTTAGGATGAGGGAACTAATCTTATATTTTATGTCTTTGGAGAAAAATCCTCCCAGATATTATCCTTTGGTAGTATCCTTTGGTTTCATAAATGAGACTGCCTCATCTAGGCTGTTACCATTCAGCCTGCCAAATGCAATTTGGTCAAATCAGATTTCATTATTCAAATCTCTAATTAAATATAAACATGACATTGTTGGGTTTGAAATGCCTATTTAAAGACGGAGCCTTGGTTTACTTTTATACTTACCTTGTTCGTACTAGGAAGGAAGGATGGAGGATTAAGACCCTTGGATTATAAACTTTTCATTATTGGAGGAACTGGAGTAGAGAGGATGATTATCTAGTGATTGCAGGAAAAGTGTTTCTGAGTTGAGTTTTTCAGATATTTGCTTTATTTGCCTTTGTAAACCAAGCCACAGAGCACCATATTAAACTGAACTGCTTCTCTCTAAAGAATGAACAGGACTCAAAATTTCTTAACTTCTTTAAAACCTTTGGTTCCCTGTCTCCATTTCGCTGCTGAATCATGTGGTTCAGTCATTTAGGTCTTTCTTGGTCCCTGCTGGGCACTGCTGATCCTGTGTGTGTCTGTGTTTGTAGAAGGGTCAAAGAAGGTGAGGGAGTATGAGCACTGGGATGTAACTTAGTGTTTTTCTGATTTTCTTCTAGCCTCTTTATTTGAAGACAGTAAGAGAGCTTTTTCAAAGGGCCTAAAAGTCTAATATTCTTGCAAACCTGTCTCGGGGTTTAAAAAACACATCACCCTGTTTGGTTCTGAACCTTTGGTTTTTAGTGATAATTGACACATTTATGTGTGTTAGTTATGCGTTTGTCAAAGCATGACTCCTGACAGTTTAGTTATGATAAAATTAAACGTGATGCTCACATAAATTCCGCACTGCTTTTCATCCATATACCAGGGCCCTGCCTGATGTTTTTTGTCACCTCTATAATGTGTGGTTGGCTTTGTAGTGATTTCGTTATCAGCCCTTTCCCCTTTGGCTAAAGCTATTTGCATAACAAGTTTATCTGGTCGAGTACCAAACAGACTCGCTTTGTCATTAGGCTCTTTTCAAAAGTAGCATTTTGATAAGATACCCATAATTTTCATTTTGTCAATTTCACCTTGGTCTTAATGGATGCTGCTTTTCCCCCCTTCAAGTTCAAACTAATTTAAGGTCTTTGGACTAAACTACAAAAACAGTTTTCCAGCCGTTGGTTAAAAGGTATTTGTGAACTATATACACTTCCATTTTGCCTGTAAAACTTTTAGGCTTTTATTACAACTTAGATTTAAGACTTCCTCATCAGTGGCTCTTGAGCTGATTAGTGAGACAATAAAGATGGATTTTCTTTGGTCAAGGGCAAATCCACCAGGAGCATGGTGGCTGCTCAGCTTTGGATTTAATGATGACAACTATATGATCACTCGCACATAAACTGCTTTCTTGGAGTGGCTGACTTCAGCACCGAAGTCTCCTCGCCCACTGTACAGTTCATAGCTGAGACCACTATAGACAGATTAACAAGATAAAAGCATAACAAATGTTTTTAATTTGTTTTACATGACTGGAGAGCTTTCAGAAATGAAGATCCAAAGATCCAGGGAAAAGCATATTGCTTTGCTTGGGTTTGATGAAGAATGGACAGTCATGTAGCAATGTGATGACGCAATGGGGGCACAATTGATCGGTAACTAAACCGGGAGGAACTTAGCAAGGCCCGTCTGATGCTTCTTGACCAGTCGGTGTAACATTTTATTCTCCAGGTGTGGGGCAGGACACCTATCACGTGAGGGTCTTCGAAAGAGAGGAGAGTAGGAGGTCAGAGTGATCTTCCTGCTTCTGTGTCTTAATTTCCTTCAGGTTGGAGCATTCAGTATGTGAGCTGCCTTGATGGTGGCGTTTTGTGCCCTCCAACCCCCAACTGACAGTGAGCACACAGGCTTCTCTGTTTCCCTGCGGGAACAGCAAGTCTGAGCCTTGCCGTCTGGGCCCAAAGTGTTGGGGCAGCCTTTCCTAGCCCTCCAGATGAGGCTGAAACGGGCATAAGTGGTTGTGCTGAATGTTAACAAGATGAGATCACTCTGAGCTATGGAAATGAATGGATATTTGCATACGTTTATTTCTTAAAAACTGAAACTTGCTTTCTCTGTAGGCCTGTATGTTGATAAAGCTAACCATTTTGGGGGTGGTTGTTTCCTTGACACTGATTATATTTCCCTAAGGCAATAATTCTTAGCTCTTGCCTATTTCTATTTGGCATTTTAAGGCTGCTTAATTCCACATGGCTTTACAATGTCAATGAAAAACACTTCCAAAGATAAATATCCTACCTCAGTAATTTATCAGTTTCCACAAATATGCTTGGCTTTCTACACCTTATTGGATTCTTAGGAGGCCATGCAAAGTGTTAATACCTCCTGGAGCAGAAGGATACAATAACCATTATTTACATTACTTCACAAATTGGTAATTTTAATTAAAATGAGCAGC